TAACCAGGAAAGGAGTAAAATAGTCTTTGTCAGAGGTCTTAAATATAGGAGGGATGGGAAGTGAGTGAATAACCTCTGGGGCCTCCTGCAATAGGTTAAAGGTGATTAATTGGGGGTCTCAGCGGACCTCTTATTAGGGGAGAGTTGATTGCAGGAATCTCTTACGCATCAGCTTAAGCATGTTATACTTCAATAGCACAGTTTCTTGTAATATTCTGTTTATTTCATGTTATTTTAGTCCTTCACACCTTTGTTTATACTGTTTTTTTGTGGGGAAGTGGGGCATGGGCATTCTCTTTCCTCTTACCATACCCTTCACTTGGCTAACTCTTAACACATTTTTTGGAACCCAGCTCAAGTCTCAAGTGCCATATCCTCAAGGAAGCCTTTCTTGATCCCTCAGGTCTGGCTCAGATTCCCTTACTCTCTCTCCTATCATACCACTTGGTACTTGTATCAAAATGAGAGGAACACATGTGCTAACCCTTCCTGACTGTAATATCCCAAGCACAGGGATCCTTTCTCACTCACTGGTATGAACTTGACTGTCTAGCATTATGCCAGGTGCTCAGTAAATGCTTGTGGAATGGAAGATCCAGATATGAAATCGTACTACCTTGGCCAGGCACTTAACGTCCCTATTTCTCAGGTTTCTTGTAAGTAAACTTAAGAGTCGGATGTATTCTAAACTCTGGAAGGGAATCTTAGTCCAATATCCCCTCCAATACCAGTCTTTCTTCCCTTTCTGTATCAAGTCTAAGATCATCTTTAAAATCCAAAGATTTTGAAATATAATGCGATACTATTATTACTAATGGTGGCAGGCCCAGTTTAATGGCACATCATAGAGTTTGTTTGAAAGACATGATACTGTAGGTTATGAGATACATAGGAATTAGTTTTATTAACTCATCAAGACATCCAAATCTATAGGATAATGGGGTGCTTTTAAAATGAGTTTTAGGAATCTAGCAATTCCAATAATGATTTTGCTTAGTTGGAACTATAGCTGCAAACACTTCTTGTGTAGTGAAGGATCAGAGTGGAGGTGGAGCATGGGGTTGGGGCAGACACCATAGAGGGCTTTAACCAGGGAAGCAGATGGTCAAAAATGGCAAATTTACTTTTTAGAAAGTTCATTTTGACAGCAAAATAGAGAAAATTAGATTGAAGACTGGAGGCAGGAAGTTGATTTCTTCTTTTTTTCCATCTACCCAGCTATCTATTTGTCCTTCCATTTATTCACTCAGCAAACATTTTTGAATACCTAGTTCTGAGAACAAATGCTATAATCAGATAGGCCTATGTCTCATATCTTGTCCTGCCACTTACCCATCTGTGTGACTTGGGGCGAATCACTTAATCAGTCAAGAATTCAGTTTTATCACCTGAAAAATAGGACTAATAATAATATTCATTAATGCTTCATAGGTTAGTTAGAAATAGTAAATAAGATTATCTTTAATAGCTACTTGGCACCATGCCAGGAATTCAAGCATTTATAAGCTTTTGCTACTTTGTTAATATTAATGGGTTGGAGATACATATTTGAGAGATGTCATGGAACTCTAGATTGTTAAAGTGTGGGTGTGAAGACTTTACTAGAATGAGATTCAATTCAGCAGATGTTTACTGAACATGTACTACTTACAGAGCATCATGTTGGGCATTATGGGAGGTGCAAAGTGTGCCTCCAGGAGTCTGTAGGTCTTAATTTTAATACCAGGCAGAATGTGTTAAATGCTTTAATCATTGGTGGAAATTTGGAAAGCTTTTCTGGAGAAGATGGGGTTTGAGATGGGTCTTAAAGGATGAACAAACTCCAGTAGGTGGATGAGGAGAGAAAGTGCTCTTCACACACATAGGGAATGAGTGGTCCAGAAGTCAAGAGGCAGCAGAATGAGAATGCATATTAAGAAAACTATGGGTTGACAAGTAGGACTAAAATTTGGGATCTCTTTAAGAGGGTATAAGGAGAGAGAAAATATTAAAATAAAGATAAGTGTCAGATTATTTTCCGTAGAGAACTTCGAATTCCATTCTGTAGAGTTTAATATGAATGAATGCTGATAGGGGGCAGAAAGATAATATTGGGCTTGTATTTAGACAGATTTAATGACAAAGGTGATAGGACTGACTATGGAAGAGGGAACGGAGAGGGAGGAGACCACTTGGAAGGTCATTGGAAGAGTTTGGGCAAGAAGCTTGAGATCCTGAATTGAGGGTCTTGGGGATGGAAGCTTTGTGGAAATAGAATGACAAGATTCAGTGCCTCACTTTTGGTGGGATGAGATGGAAGAGGTGGGTTTACAGCCTGAGAGAACAGGAAATTATAATGTTATTGAGATTGAAAAGTAGGAGGAGATTTGAGAGAAAAGATGGCAGGATTAGTTTTGAGTTGGAGGTGTTTCTGAAACATCTGTTTAGAGGACATGTCCACTTGGCAGCAGACTGTTGTGCCGAACCTAGCAAGTGTGAGCAGAGCTGGGAGCAGGTAGAGGAGTTGTCTGCTCTGAGGCATAGTTGAAGTCATAGAATACAGGAAATGTTAGGATAGTGAAGGATTCACCTCCAGAGGACTAAATTTCATGAGAGTAGCCAGTGGCCAAGACAAGAAGAGGAATACGAGAGATGTGTGTCACCAGGGAGAGAAGGAGAGATTTACAAGAACAATACAGATGATCAACAGTCTTATAAGCACCACTATTAAAATGACAAAAGACACTATAAGTTATTTATTAATTGACACGGGGCCACTTGGAGTTGAGGATATTATGGGCATTTCCATCATAATGTGTCTGAGATTCATGTGGTTTTGGATAGTTGGAGTGAGTTTCCTCTAGATAAGAATGTTTTCGCCCACCCCTTGCTTGAATTCCTTATTAGCCAGTTATCAGCAGGGATTTAGAGTTTGCGGAAGGATAAAGGAATCTCCTTTCCATTCCTGAGTCTGTGAAGATGCCCCTTACCTAAGGAAGACAGGAGCCAAGCTGTGGGTTCATTGTGCTTGGGCTGCGCATGTGCTAGGTGTCAGCCACACTCTTGTGCTTCTCTCGCAAACTAATTGAGGTTAGGGGTAGAGTTCTTGGTTGTTCTTCCAGCAAAGTAATCCTAGAGGACAGTTTAAACCTTGGAGAACTTGGCCGTGGGTTGAAATTGGCCCAAGAAAAAGTTGGCTACCCCAGAAATGTAAGTGCTTGAGTCTGCTCTTCAGGAGCTTCCATGCAAGGATCTACCTGCCACCATTCTAAGGCTCACCTTTTCCAACTGAGGAGAAGGAACATAATTTTCTTTCTCCAGGGTTTGTGGCAGTGAATGAGTTTAGAGAGTCAGAGGCTAAGGGTGTAGCAGATGGCGTGAGAACCTGGAGAGCCTCTTTTTCTAAATCATGGTCGTTGTTAGTACTGTGAGTTTCTATTTAAATTCTGTTTTGGGATAAAGCAAAACATTGGGCTTTATGTGTCTCCGTACATCCTTTGATCACATTTGTCTCTTTACTTTTTTTGGTCCTCTTGACTCTCTATGTCAGTTTTCTTCTAGAGCTCTGCCCCTGTCCCCCACCCCTGCTACTCTCCTACCTGCACTTGCTGGTTAGGGCTTCGGGGCTTCCTTCCTAGTCTCTTTGGACCTAAGGATCGCCAAGCGGAAGTTTCTGCTGTAAGGGGCATGGTTTTCATTGCAAATGGGTCCAGTGGGACATCTGAGGTTGCAGCTGAATCTTCATGCAAATAACAATGTTCCCTACCCTGCACTCCCCTCCCTTAGAGAAGGCTTAGGGATGGGACTCCCAGAGCGTTTCTAGGCCATTACAGCCTCAGCTCCTGGCTGTTCCCAGAGCCTGAACCTGCTCTCTTGACTGTTGAGTGGGTAAGGAGGACGCTCTGCTCTTCATTTCCCTCCTCTTGTGCTTCTTTGGCTTTCCACTTCTTGCTTTCCTTCCCGTTCCCCCTGTTCTTTCCCACTTAACTTTTTCCTTTTTCCACCTCTTTCCTTCCTTCATTCTCTCAAAGAAAAGCGAACACCTATTAGAACATAACTGCATTTAATTTCCTCTTCCTTTCTTCACCTATCCTTCTATTCCATTAAGAACACAAACTAATATCCAATAGTAAATATTTATACCACTTATAAGCCTTGCTGTAAGTAATTTGGTATTGCGGGATGTACAAAGTACCTGTAAAAAATGAATTTGGGGGTGGGGGAATATGTAATGTGAGAACCTTCTGCTGTGTTCATCTTTACCCTGGACAGGGGAAGCAGGAACCAATATAGCTTACAAGGAAATAGTATGGTGTGGCTGAGTTGCAAGTCGGAAGGCCCAGAGTTTGTTTCTAAACCCTCTGTGATCAGAGGATACTTAGCTTCTCTTTGCCATGCATTGGTCTTCATTTTTAAAATAGGGATTGTGGGTATTTGTCATTACTACCTTAGTGAAATGATTTAAGAACCCAGTGACATAATATGTATGTAAATGCTTTGAAAAGTAGGATTATTATTGTCATTTATATGGGTAAATATCTCCCAAACAAAATGTAAAGACTGGATTTGCAGCATGTATAAAACGAGCTGATAGTATTGGATGATTTCTAATGAGTCTTTCAGCTCTTAAATTTTGTTTTTCCCTAGATAGTTCTTGGCATGTAATGGGGTTCTAACAATATTTGGATGGATGGACAGACGGATGATTGGATGGATGGATAGGTGGATGGGTAGATGGGTGGATGGGTGGATGGACGACAGACAGACGGACAGACCAATTAAAAATCCAGTTGCCTTACTTTCCCTTCCATTTCACATTGGCACCACTGCCCTCTTCTGGCCAGCAGCAGTATTACTGTGCAGTAAGTCTAGCTGGGCCTTGTTCTACCCTATTTCAGCCCAGCCCCTAACCCTGGCTCCCTGAGCTGGTTCCTTGGGATCCGTCTTTGAGCCTTCAATAACTCACTGCCTCTCTTTCCTCCTCCTCCCCTTTCCATCCTTCTCTCCATCTGCCCCCACAGCACTGCCAGTAACTCAAACCGCAGCACACCGGCCTGCTCCCCCATCCTCCGGAAGCGGTCGCGCTCGCCAACCCCGCAGAACCAGGACGGAGACACCATGGTGGAGAAGGGCTCAGATCACTCCTCAGACAAGTCCCCATCCACACCGGAGCAGGGTGTGCAGCGTAGCTGCTCCTCACAGTCTGGCAGAAGTGGTGGCAAAAATTCCAAGGTGAGCTGGACACCCCGCCCAAGGACTCTGTACTTGCTGGTTAGCTAGCTGCAGAGAAGCTGGTGCTGGGGGAATGTGAGGTAGAGAACCCCTTCCTTGAATGATCTAATGTGATTTACCAGCCTCCTGTTTCAGAGATAGTCTTTATTCAGTGAGGTGCGGTGGGGCAGGCAGGGGAGACTCTAGTTAAATTTTATCTTCTTGGATGAGCACTCAGAGGGCCTGGGGGCTAGTAAAATGATTCCATGATGACTATCATCTATCCTTAGGAGCTAGGGAGCCTTCTGTTCCCTGCGGTTGGAGGAGGGATGGTACAGGGATCAGGAGCCGTCATCTGTTTAGCTCGTTTATCTTTTTCACATTTGGGTAGAAGGGAGCATTACTTGGAACTACTATAGTGCCAGGAAGAGAGTCCTCAGGGAATGTGTAAAATGCTGTTTTTAAACTCCAATCTGGCCATCACCCTTCCTTCCTTTGGTAATAACTCACTTGATGCTCATCTGGCCAAGAAGGTGGTGACAGGGCCTCTCCATCTCTCCCAAGTATGTCAGGGCTACCACCTGAGCACCCAGGCTTTTGCCTAAGAATAAGCATAAAGTAAGCCCTGGGCATGGTGGGGGTGGGGGGTGGGGTGGGGGAACTGTGCTACTTACGATTCCCAAGAGAGTTTCTTCTCTCCCCTCAGTCCTTTGGGAAGCAGGAGACATCTTTGTCTACATGCTCCTTCAAAAAGTTCCTCTTCGCCACTGGACTCACAGGCCCTGGGGTTGGGTGGAGGGACCAGGAGGTTGGGAACTGGCTTCCCACCTAAATTTGTCTTTTGATCTGTTCTTCCTCTTCTTCCCTACCATTTCCCAAATACCTTCTTTGCATGCATGGTTTTAGTCTCACAAGCGCCTCTCAAAAGTAAGCCATCTTTCGTCTCTGTCTGTGGTCTTCCCTCCAGTGTTGAGTTGTCTGTAGTGCTCCGCACCCCTCCCTCTGCCCTCGCCCATTCTGGCCCATGTCTTGCTTGATCCCTTTCCCAGAAGGCCAGCCCCACTGCCCTTGGAAGGCTGGCTTGAAGTCAAACAGGGACCATTCCCACTGCACCCAAAGTCGGAGAACAGACCTATACCCCATCACCTCATGTCTCTGCCTGCTCCCCAAACACTGCCTGAGCTGGGGATCTGCTCCCTCCTTACATGGTGCCATCTAGAAGCAGAGTCCAGCCAGGGGTTAGTTTCATTCCTTTGGGGAAGGGAGGCCCTATCCAGTCAGGCTTCAGGTTCTGATACTCCCATCTACCTGCTTTGGTGGGTGATTCTTGATTCCCCAGATGAGTTGTTTGAAGGTGATGAATTCCAGTAGTTGAGTTCCATGATGCAAGAAAGTGACTTCAAGAGCTCTACCTGGTACCCTCCTTCCCTCTGCCTGCCTGCTGAGAGCTGCTCAGCCTGAGTACCGCTTATTGCTTCCACCTACCACCTAGCTTAGGGGCTCCTGATGTTCTTAGGATGCTGGACACTGATCACCGGGGAACTTTTCTCCAAGAAAGCCATGGTGTCAGAACGCGGAGGTTGGTGGACATTGGTAATAGCCATTGCCAGGCCCCATAGAAATGCTGCCAGGTTAGGGAGGCAGTGCCAGAGTTTGCTCAGGACCCCAGGATTTCAGGGCCCTGAGGAGAACTTGGAGAGAGTGAAGGGTGAACAATAGGGGCTTTAAACTGGCAGGGTCAGGATGCACTATCCAAAGGGAGAGGAGATGGGATGTAGCCTGAGGAAGAAAATGCTGAGGGATGACTTAATAATAGTCTCAAACCCCCGATTAGTGTTTTGGGAAGGAGAGTGAAAGCTGTTGTCTTTCCCGAGGAAAGAACAAGAGGCTACAGGACTCATCATACAGTCTGTGACTTTCAGACTAAAAGCACATCTTGGCTCTGAGGATTTTAAATGACTGTTACTGGCTGTGGACAAGGAAGGAGGAACTTACTCACAAGGGGTGAGGAAGCCAGGGGAGTTCTCTGTGCTCAGGTGTCTCGGATGTAGGCATGTCTGGCAACAGGGTTTGAGATGACTGCTGTCATCCCTTCCTGAGCCCCTCACACTTCTCTCTGCCTGCGGGAAGAGGAGATGTGGTCAGACATGAGCATCAGGTTATCCCATCTCTCTGCTTCTGCCCACAGTCTTTGCATACTTTTCCATCCTAAGGTGGAAGCTCTAAGCTTCCTTACTTACCTTCTTACCCTGTGCCTAGCAAGGCACTCAGTAACCAAAGCAATATCTATTTATGGTCATTAGTCACCACTTACAGAGTGCCTCTCTTAGTCAGGCGATGGGTTGATAATGAGTCCCTAGTAATGAAGCTCCTAAATGGTAGGTCTTCTTTGGGAAACCAGTGTGAAAACAGGTTTCCTGCCCTTAGGCAGCATACAGTTTGGGAGGGAGATAAGAAACTGCCCAGATTATCCACAAACCAAACCTGATTTGTAGAACCACAGGACTAGTTGGCATGTTATGAGAATTCAGAGGCAGGAGACTCATTCATGCGTGAGACATATTTCAGGGAGCAGGTGCTATAAGTCAGGCTGGAACTCCGAAATTTTGGAGAGGCAAAATGAGGCATTATGAAGGGACTGTGAGCTGAGCATGAACTGCACATTAACCTCGGCCCCTTTCTCAAGGGGCTAAAGAGAAAGGTGACCGAGGGACTCTAGGTTTTCTTCCCCATTGAAGAGCTTGGGTGAGGCAATGCCTGTCCGCAGTAGACACATATTATCTGGGTTCTCTGGCTTTGGACAGCCACACCCCCACCCCATTCTCACCAATCATGACCATCACCACTAACACCACCATCATTTAAATGCAGTTAAAATAGGACTGATTTGTGGGAGAGGGGCACCCTACTACACGAGGTGGAAGTGGCGGCAGCTGTGGTCGATCTGGGAAATGTGTGTGTGGAACACAGTGACTTTAGTAAAGAAATGTGAGAACCAATATAGGAATTATGTTCTATACAGGCCAGGGTCGTGAGCAGAAAGTGAGGGAAAGCTGCAGAGGTGAGTTGAAGGGAAGAGGAGAGGGTGCTCATGTGATGGGGATACCTCTTGCCCTGTTGGAACATTGTCTCAGGTTGACCCAGTGTTGCCATGGCAAGGGATCCTGTGGCTGAAGCTATTGTCACTATTATCCCGTGGCTGTAGCTATTGTCACTATTATCCCAGCCAGGCCACCTCACTCTCTGTCTTCAGTCCACCTCATAGAGGAGGTGACTGCATGTATCTTCAGGCAAGCTGGAGAATGCTTCGACTTTCCCCTGGGCCAAGCCTCACACTCCGTGTCAGTCTTCCCTTCTCAGGCCTTCTATTTCCTGTGTTAATGTGTAGGGGCTGGACCAGATGGTCAATAATGACCCTCTTCGGTGAATCTGTAACTCTGCTGCCAAGGCTGAGCTTTCCTAGGGGCAACCCTGACCAGAGCAGTGGGCTAGAAGACGTCAAGGCCTATCCACTTCTCAGGACCCCTCGAGTTTATGCTACTACCCAGCTTCTGCTCTGTAGCGCTGGCTTGGGGCCACTAGAGGGAGCCAGTGGCCATTTCCTGCTCCCACAAGCTTCCGGATCTCTGGCAGCCGTAGGAAAGATGCCCATGACCTCAAGAAAACCCTCCCTGCACTGGGTGCGTTGGTCACCCTGGCTGTGTGTCTCTGAGCTCCTTTCCCCTTGACTTGTTCTGTTTTTCAATCTTAATTTTTTTGGTTTTCTTTTCAGTATGACAGACTTAACCTGATCAAAGTAAGAAGTTGTTTTTTCTCCTAACTTCTATTAGATGTAGAGCTCCTCTCGTCCCCTACCTTTGTCCCCTCAGCCCTCATCTTCCAAACTCCCAGAGCCTTCACAATGGGGAGGTGTTTTCTAGGGAACTTGGGTCTGTTTGCAGAAGCCTTGCATTCCCTTAGACACTTACTTTTCAGACCACTTCTAGGAGGCAATAGAAACATGCTCTGCTCAGCTCCCCATCCCCAACAGCTCTCTGTCTTTGGGTACTTTTTCTGACTCTCTGCTCCCCTTTTAGCCAAATCTATTTATAACCTGTAAGAAATTTTCATCCTCACTCCCTAGTTCTCTTCTTTCCATGCCTCCGTCCCAAGGAGATGCATCTCAGTGAACCTACAAGGGCAGGCAGCCTCCTTCCTGCCAGTGAACACCCCTGCTCTCACTTCCAAGGCCCAGAGCCCCTCTGGCTCCCTGCCTGCATGGGGCAGGCCCCCCCTGTCAGGACTCAGAGCCTCAAGGATCAAATTTGCCCACAAGAGGCTGGTCAGAGTTCAGGCACTCATGCCCACAGTGGGTATTCTCAGGGACTACCATGGATTAGGCTGGAGGGATGAACACCCATTTTTCCCAGTGGCACCCACAATGGTGGCAGATACAGAAGAAGCTGTGCAGAGATAGCTAGTTAAGGGTAGAGTCTCATGCTGAGGGACAAAAGTCCTTGCTCTTGATGGTAAATTTCACATTTCTCTACTTGAGAGCATGCATTCTTACTCCCTTTACAAAAGAGCAAGCATTCCACCAAAGATATCGCACAACTAGTTAGAGATGGGACACGGGTTTCCTAGTTGTAGCTCTGTCACTCTGAAGTTCCTTATTACAAACAGATTGAGAAAAGTCACTCATCTGTGTGGCAGTACATGAAAAGAGAACATCTTCCGTTTATCTGAGGCAGGAGGGAGAGTACTGTGCAGGAGTAATCATAAAAGATCTTGGGTTCCCCCACCCAGCCCAAGTTCTTGTTGCTCCCTTTCCTCCTAGGATATTACATGAAAGCCAGGACAGAGGGTGAGGAGCTACAGAGAGGGGCACAGAGAGTGTTTTCAGCTGTGAAGCAAGTGTCTGATGACATGGCTTTGGCTTGATGAAATGCAGACAAACTGGGGCAGTCAAGGCTGGCAGTTACCAGAGTATGCCTTTCCACTGCTGAGGAATGTATTTTAGTGAATATTTGCACAGCCTCATGCCCTATGATCTCAGAGTCAGGACCCAGGAATGTCCCAATGCTGAAATTCTCACAGACTAATTTTCAGTTCCAGGTCCAGGATTCCCATGTAGCAGTAGCTCCCTCAGTGATGAAATAGTTGTTTTTGAATGTTTGGATTTGGCCTCTTAACCTCCTGTGACCTCTGGATTGGAGGAGGAGATGAGGCCGTGGCAGGAGTATATAACCTCCAGATGGGCCATGGTGACAGTCTTTGTTGGGGAATGACCTTGGAGAGCATCTTGAAGAGGGGGATTGAGGGCCTGCCTTGCCATCTGCCCATCTGGCCACATTCTGGCCATGAGAGCAAGTGTAAGAATGAAACGAAACCAGTCAGGCAACACCACCCATGCCTGTTCCCCCCTCTGCTGACACGGATCCCCTTTGGAGTGAAGGCTGATGGTCTCTACAGAGCTCTTCTAGGGGAATGGGAAAACTGGAGAGGGAGAGATCGCATGACCATGCTTTCCTCACCACAGACACACTCACCCACCCTCCATCCCATCAGGTACACATGCAGCAAACATCCTGAGATGGTGGCTGCCCTCTTCCCTTAGGAGTCAGAGTCCCTTAAGACCAGGTGGTTGTTAATTTTGTCCAGGATCCACACCTCTGCATACAGTTAAGATGCTGACCTGAAGGAAGACTTTTCCTCTCTCCAGTGATTCTCCATCTGAATAACCTCCTTGGCAAGCTTTCTAAAACTGGAAATACTCCAGCCCCCATCTAAACCTATTGGATCAGCACCTAAAGGGATGAGGCCTAGGCAGATGTGTGTGCATGTTGATTCCTACCTGCCTATCTTCCAAGTGGGCTGTGCATAAAGGACTCCAGGCCTTCGAGATCAGAGACAGACAAGACACAATGCTAGCCATCCGCCCTCTTTCCTTAAAAAACTTAGTTACCATAAAGATGAGTAACCTTTGCCCAGGGCTAGGACCAGAGAGCACCTGAATTCTGGAGCTGGGGTGCAGTCTGGTTTTGTTGGTATTGATTATGGCACCACTAAGTTGGGGAGGACCATTAGCAGTTATGTACTTTAACCTTCCTCCCAGTGCAGAACTCCCAGCCCCTCCCCTGCCATTATCACTAGAGTTGAGCAGGAAGAGGAATTTACTCACCTGCTCACTGAGAGCACAGCAAACCTTTTTGTTCCCTTACGCCAAAGCGTCCCATCCTGCCTTCTACAGAGGAGCTGACTTGGAGCAGAAGGCTGGCTTGGTCTCCAACTGCACTTTGCTTCTGGTCAGGGCCCATTGGGGACTGTGTCTTGGATGCCTGCCACGCATCCCTTCTCCCATCAGAAGGACCTTGTGATGGGGGCTCCGACTTTCTTCCACTTGAGCTCTAGCTGGTGCTGCCACTGCCTGCCACCCCAACGCGGCAGAGCTTCCAGCATGGACTGCTCTCCGGGCTTTCCTTCTGGAGCTGTCTTGAGAAAGGGGGGCCCCTCCCAAGCAGCCACATGGGAAGCATTCGGCTGCATTTGGATTCCTCTCCTTGTCTGCCCTCTGCTGTCTGTGTAACCTTCCTTCTGGTGTCAGGAATACCCTGGCCATGCCCACTGTCTCTTCCCTGACTAATTTTACCTTTTCTTTTATTTTGTCCTTTCAGAAAAGCCAGAGCTGGTATAATGTAAGTATCCCTGTTTTCTTCTTGTTGGTATGTGTGGAGCGGGAGGGGCGTGGACATGGATGTGGACATGGTCAGGACATGAAGAAGCATGGAGTGCAGTCGGGCTGCTGTGGTCCAGAGCAAAGTGAGGGGCCGAGAAGGGTGGGCTTCTCTCCTGACCAGCCCTGCCCCACATCAAAAACCAGATACAGTGGTGATCTGTAGCAGGACAGGACTGCCGGTGGAGGAAGGTTTGATTCAGGGAGACCAAGGAGAGCTGGCGAACCTTATCCTTCCCAAGACTCCTGGGCAAGGCCCTCAAGACTTATTGGGGGAGACCAGTCAGGGAGGCATTCCAAGACCAGACAGAATTCTGGGACTCAGGCAGCCCTAGGCCTGAACTTACGGCCACAGTTTCCTACCCTTAACGAAGACATTTTGGAGGAAATGCAGCCAGAAAACTTGCCCCAATAGTATAGAGACATCCCGTGAAATGGAATTAGACTCTCCACCTCCGCCAAGGCGTACCTCAGTAGCCCCGAGGGCATGCCCGTTCTAGAGATATCCACCGTGCTTGGGTCTGTGCTTGGCAAAGTGGTGAAGGTATAACCTGGTGTTATCCATGGGGGTGGTTCAGCCAGCTGCTTCATACCCAGAAACTGCATGGTAAAGCAAGCAGTCCCTGCAAAGGCTACATCTTCTTGGTCACATAGACTGGACCACAGGATTTTGAACTTTTGAGGAGTAATTGGCTGAAGTCTGTCAACTGGCCCCTGTCGGGTTGTGCTCTGCCCTCTGGGAATGCACAGTGGACTGACTGGCAGTTTGTACCCATGGTTGGGCCTCACGTCATTGTCTATCCATCTCTGAGCCTGCCTTTTCCCACACTGATCCTGACTGATCACACAGATGCCACTTTTCCCTGTCCTTAACCCCAGGCTCTACCTCAGCAGGTTACATGGTCATGGAGAAGGTGTGGGATGAGATGATAGAAGTGGAAGACACTCTGGGGATGGGAAAGATGAGGACGGGATAGGGAAGAGGCTTGGGTTTAATGTAGGGACTTGGATCAGAATCACATATGTGTGTTGGAGGGGGTGGGGAAGAATGTTTTCCCACACAGCTTCGTGATTCCCCAAATCAGGCACATGTCAGTGAGCCCTATGACTTCTGACCTGCTGCTGAGTGAGCCTGCCTCTCCCTGGCAGATGGATTGACCTGCCAGGCTTAGTCCCAGCCGGCACAAACAAGGCAGAGCTTGGTGGGTTGTGCTGATAGGAGGGGAGTTGAGAGCTGAGGTGGCCTGCATGGAGAAGGCAGACTCAATGCCTTCATTCCCAGAACTCCCCTTTGTACCCACCTGACTTCTGGTCCTTTTGCTGCTTAAAGCTCACATCCTGGAGGAGAGAGAAGCTCCTTATGTGCAGGAGGAGAGGTGAGGGAGTGAGGGTGCTTTCTGAGGAGCTGTGTAGTGATTCCGGCATCCTTTGCCTAATGAAACTTGCCATGCTTCTGAGCAGTATTGCAAAATTAGTGCCCCCAAAGGGGAACCGGAAACACGTTCAGACCCGTGAGGAGTGGAAGCATCCGAGTTGAGTCTTGCAAGTCTTCATCCTTGTTGCTAGGCTGCACGCTCTCCTATCTTTTCTTTGCTCTTTCCATCAGGCTTTTCTGCTTCATCTCATTTTCCTTTCCTTGTCTGCCCCCTGCCTTCATTTTCCTCTTTTTTTATTTTTTATTTTTTCCCTTCTTTTTTCCCTTTTCTCCATCTCTGTTTTACCTCTCCTTTCTCAGATTTCCAGTTTCCTGGCTGGCTTTCTCTTTCCAGTTCTCACAGGTTTTCCTTCCTCTCTTCTGTCCTTCTGCGATTCTTTAACCTCTGATTTCTTCTCCGTCAGCCCCACACGTAAGAACTAGCATCTGAGCACTCAGTAGAGTGATAGCTAGAAATAGATGCTGCCTCTTGGCTGGAAGAGCCAGCTGCCAACCAGGGGCCCAAGAAGTCGGGTTCTGATGACGGATAAGCGAGACAGCAGAGGAGCCAGCCAGGCGTGGCTGGAGACCTGCTTCCTCACTCATTCCACGTGCAGCTGGAGATATGCAGAGGCAGTTGGCCCTCACTCTTCAAATGTCCTTATAATATTGTCCTCCAGAATACATTTGCTTCCTAGTCCTTTCCTGCCTCTCACTCTCTATTAATCCTAGGCTGTCTCCTTTCACCTTCACCCCTTAACCTGAATGAATTACAGGAACATAATCGACTCTCCACCCAGCACAAATCATTAACTCACAGAGGCCAAGAGCACAGGGGACTCTCCTGAGCAGCATTTAGTGATTCCCTCTTGACCTCCCCTCTATGTGATTCAGGCTGTCACGCTGGAGGTCCTTCCAGAAACTCAGTGGCACCAGATGTCCTGGGACCCATCTACAAATTTCTTCCTGCTGCTCCCTCTTCCTCTGCTTTCCGATGTAGGGTCTCCAGGTGGAGGTAGCTCCTTGTGTCTGCTCTCTGTCACCCAGTACTACCCTCTTCCCGGTTCTGCTAAACTTCTCTGTGGTTGTCCTGACTTGGGTTGGGACAGGGAATAGAACAGAACAACACAGAGGAAGGAGATAGAAATGACAGGTAGACGTTGGGAGGAAGAGGCAGAAGCTGAGCAAACAGTGGGAAGCTGAGAAGTGGCAGGGACCTCCAGCTGGCCTGAGCTACAGATGTCAGGAGCTGTGTCTAGTTTATCTTTTCATTTTTTCTTCATGTGTTTCCACATCCAGAGGATAATCAGCAACTGCCATAGTGGGTAGAGCCCTGGAGAGGCCAGCTTCAAGTAACACTGGGACCCCCTCCTCCAGTTAAAATTCTGCTCTCTTCCTGTGGCTGAGCCAATGCCCTGGCTCTGGGTTTATTCACTCCAGGGTTTCTGCTCTACACAGCGATCGTCACTCTCATATATACTCACTCTGTTGGTACCAGTGAAGTTGTTCCTCTGGGCATGGTGGCCTTGGTTTGATTAGGAAGCTATGATCTGGACGTTTTTCCAGAGCCACCTGGATCAGTGCACACAGGAGTGAGGTGCCCCTATACTCCCAGTGCATGTGCCTTTGGATGGCTAGACAACCTGCTCACACATTGCATCGTGTGTGTGTCTATGTGTTTGTATACAAAGTCCCCATAAGGAAACTTCAGTCCACCACCACCCCTGTCCACAGAACTGCCCCCTAATAGTCCGTTCCCAGTTTTTCAGGAGGCATTTGACCTGGTTCTCTGTTTTCCCTTAGTCTTCTCCATCCTTCACGCTGCCCAAGTTGCTTGAGTTGGTTGGACTCTGGCCTTTGGAAAGGACAGACATCCCATCTCCTCTTCTCAGTGCTGCTGACAGCCCTCTCTGTAATCTTTGTCGTGACACTAGTGGTAGTACTGTAGCTGCTCTGCTGCCCGAGGCCCCATCATTGCACTGGAAGTCCTTCCAATACGTAAAGGCTTTGCAATCCCCTTTGCATACACTAAGGACAGTTAGAAATGCCCTAACCGGATTCAGGACAGTGAGAGTCAGTGCAGGGTTGCTGACTGTTGGGAGAACAACGCAGACCTGTTGGAGTACCTTGGGTCTGACAGAAGAAGAAGCCACCCAGCACCTCCCTGCCATTCCCCAGCCACCTCTTTCACCTGTCTCTCTTCTGCATTTTACTTTTACCTCTTTAGCCATGATGACAAACCATGTTGGCCTAAAGAATAGATTCCATGAGGGGAAGTAGCTGGACCCCAGAGACATGTGGAAAGACTGAGATGTAAGAGCTTTTGGTCTCTGGTCAGCGATGGTCACATCGAGTGAGTTTTGAAGGCCATGCTGTCTACAACTACCCCGAGTCTCTCCCAGGCCTGATCATACCTAATCTCCCCACTTGACCATCCTAGTTTTATATATCAACGTCCCCAGCTTGGGCTGCGTTGCCCCAGTGGACATGAGGTGGAGAAATAAGCAGAAACTGGGCTTTAGCTTCATCAGGGAGCCAAACGCAGAGTTGGAGGTTGAAGGGGTGCAGTCTGTCTCTGAAGATAGCCCCTGCAAGGCATAGTGGGCTTGCATCTCCGATGAAGCCAACATTCGCATAGGTCTCCCTGGTGCCTCAGGTGGGCAGAGGTACTGTCCTCATCTGCCTCACCTCTCTCCTGGGGGTCAGTCATCTCCACGGCAACCCGGGGAAAGAGCCTTTCTGAGATGGGAGGATAGGTGCCCAGACCCTGGCAGCTACCTGAAACTTAGCACCCCAGTTGCCCGCTGCCCCTGGTTAGGGATGCATGCTTTTGGTGGAGAGGAAGGGACAGAGCCCATCCTGTGGGTGACCAAGCAGGTCTGGCAGGCATAAGATTGGAGCAAGAGAACAAAGTTTTGTAGGAATGAAATTAGCATGTCCTGGGGATAGTGAGGTAGAAGTGCTAAAAGGGTCTACCAGTGACAACCTTAGGGGCCTGCTGTTATTTTCCCTGGACTGACTCTGCTTCTTCTACATCTACCCCTGTTCATCTCCCCTCTGCTATTTACCCATTATATTGAAAAGTATTCTTGAGCCCTGCTCCTCATAGCCATCCTTAACTTTCCATAGGATGGTCCCATCTCCCACTCCTCTCTTTATTTTTTCGTATTATACCCACACCCACCCTGCCTCTCTTTTCTTCGTTTGGTCACCTCCCCCTATCTCCACTGTTCCTTTATCCCACATCTGGCTCCTCCCTACCCAGATCTGGTTGGAGGGACTTTGGTTTCTTCCTAGGCAAGGCTGGTACTCCACCAAAATTCATCTGTTTTTCTCCTGGGCTCCTCCCCATCCTCCCTCCTCCCTGCTGTACCCAGGGAGGGGGTACCGCTTGGTCCCAGCTCCCAGTGTTTGCCCTAGAGTTAATGTTTAGCCCAGGGCTAATTCCCTCTCCTCAGGCTTGGGAGTGTAGGAGAGGAAGGCTGGCACACTGAGACTCATCTCCCAGGGGTTAGACTCTCTCCATGTATCCTGCACCTCCCTCACCC